CAGCCCAGAAGAAGGCTGGGCACATTTTCAGGCTGCCAGGCCATCAGGTGGAACACTGAAATGGTAAGGCCACCAAAAGTGACAACCAAGCCCAATGCACAAAATCTGTAGTTGGGAATCCACACTCATCTCTAAGACTTTTTGTGTTTGTTGAGAAATTTGGAGGCAACCTTTCATCTCATTTGTTTTTACTTTATTTCCCTTTCACTTTGTCCTTCTGCCACCTGACTCTGTCCATATTTCCTTTGCATTTTGTGTTACTTTCTCTTCGTTTTTATTCCCCTTTAGTCTGCCTGACCCATAGCACATTATTGCTCTGTAGTGAGTGATGTATCACTGTCCAGAGCCATCCATGAACTATGTGTGGACCACATCTGCATGGAAGCCCATTGAATAGGAAAATCTTATATTTGGGAACTTCTAGTGGCAATCCTGATGATAAGATTGCCCAGATACCAATCAGTCCTTTTCAGCTCTCTCAGTTCCCACATAGCACTGGAGATGGAGTGACTTGCTGTAGCCACACAGCCTTTCAGAGATGAATATAGCCTGCCAAGATGCCAATCAACCTGTTGACTGCTGCAAAACATCATGAAGCAGGACTCCACCCCTGAAACCTTATCACCTTTGATGTACCTCCTTAAATAAGACCACTGGAGCTATTTTGTAGTTGTTCTGTTTCAGCTCCTACCAGAACTAGAAGATGCTATCAGGAGCTCTGCTTTTAAAAACTATTCTTTGACTCTGTCTTTTATTTCTTCACTAATTATTTCAGATTCTATTTTTCTCAGGAGGTTTATTGCCTCCTGAGCAGGAAAAATTACCCTGGCAAGGCGCTGGCTGCCTCATCATATATCACTACTGCCTAAAAGAAATAATGAACAAAGTGATCTATAGTAGATCACAATAACAATAGTTAATAACATTATATTGCATACTTAGCAATTGCTAAGAGAGTAGATTTTAAATGTTCTCACCATAAAAATATGGTATGTTTATGAGATAATATATGTTAATTAGTTTGACTTAGCAGTTCGACAATCATAAATATATGAAAATGTCATGTATACCATAAGTATATACACATTTTTATTTGTCAATTAAAATTTAAAAAAGAGGAAGAACAACCTACCATCTATGGGCTGTAGAGTTGATGCCAGAGTCTGTAGCCAGGGAACTTAAGAATGATTTCAGAAAAAAGAAATAAACCAATTCAAATAAAGAAATATTTCTATTGACTTATCCCTCCTACTTGCTCACTCCTGTGTATTTTGTTCTGAGAAACTGCTCCTTGGATCAAGAGAGCCTTGGGCCAGACAAGCTGCTGCAGCATGGGTAGAGTGGACAGTAGTGACTGCTTTAGGGAACATAGCTCTGGGGCAGTGCATACCAGTCTGGTAAGAAAGTTTGAGGTGAAAAAAATTGGACAGCTATCAGGGAGAGAGGTTTGGGGCATGGTCACAGCAGTCCTTGCATGGTGAAGTGGTGCTGCAAGAATGGTTCTCTCCAGCTATTTTATAAATCCAGAGTTGGGAAGAAAAGCCTTGGAGTGTGTTCAGTCATCTGCTGCCTCCGCCTGGGCACCCTTCACTCAAATTTACCATGCTTTACCCGAGTCCCAGGAGCAGTATCTCTGGCTCAAGTGCACGGAGGGATATCGGAGGAATTGCTTCAAGGGCTGAATATTGTGTCCCTGTCTGTGATATAACAAAGAAGCCCACTGATTGCCCTGCTCCTAATCCCTCACACCAGCTACTGGGCTTCATTTATTATTGCAAGCTACACCATGTTTTAGTTATGTGAATTCTGACATTTTAGCTGGAAACAGGGAGTGACAATAGAGAGAAGGAATAAAGGAGAGGAGGATGTAAGGGAGAGATGGGAAGAGGAGGGATAAGGAGAGGATAAATGGAAGGAGAGAAAGAAGGAGAAGGGAGAGAGCGAGAGAGAGACCATAATGTCAGGAAAATAGTAAAACAAAGGCTACTTTTCAAATTTCCTCATCTAAAAAATTAAGTATTTATGAGCATTTGGATAATATTTTTAAAATACAGTTCTTAAACATTTTAATTCTCCCTGAAATTTTCTTTGTTCTTCAAGGAAAAAGTCTTTAATTCCTTTGATACAGCGAAAAAGGCACATTATCTAAACAAACAGTAGACACTAGGAAAGGATAGCTATTAAACAAGTACCTTCATATTCCTCCAAGAGGATATTAAAATGGCACAACTGGCTTGTAAGCATTCCATTCTTTATTTTTTTTAGTGTGTCTAATTCTGAACCTGATTATAATAATCTTCACTAGAAATAAACCACCCTTTCCCTGTTTAATAGAAGAATTATGTTTCTCACTCAAAAATATGTCATGGCGGTCTAGTGTATTTGTTGTTCAGCATGATCCTTGAAAGCCCTTGTTGCCCTTCTTTCCTGAAGGTTTTTCTTTTTCTTTTCTTCCTTCCTTCCTTTCTTTTTTTTTAATGGACAGCTTCTCCCTGCCACTGTATTAGCTCCTTCTGCTTCTCCAGCTCTTTGGGCACTGGGGTAGAGGAGGGGCCAGGGGACTGCAGTGATACAGGGAAGTGTTGCTCTGGCTAGACCTGTACAGGTTTTGTAGTTTGTTTCTGGTTCTTCCAATTGTATTTGTACATGGTTGGGAAATAAGCTTGTGTGTGACAAATGAAAGAGATCCACTCCCATTGAAAACTTTGACACATCAGATGAGGTTGACAAATTCTGTGGTCCTTTTTCCTTCTTCCTCACCACCTACTGGAAATGGAGCTATTCAGAGACATGATCATCACTAGGACTTTTTCTTAGTGAACACTCATTATGGTGTGCCTATTAAGGCGGTATTATGAGGCCTGTCTGGGACATGGCCACAAGAGGCAAATTTAGGTCAGATGTATTATAGATAGGATCCTATTTTTTAAAAACATAAACTCAGACTGAGTTAAGTAAACCAAAAAGGCACTATATCTTGAGTAATGGAATACAGAGTAAGATGCTGCCTTGCAATGGCATTCAACAACATCTCTTATGGCTGTTATTTATTTTTTTTTGCCAATGGCCACAAGGAATGACTTCTCTGGTGACTGGCATAAGACCCAACAGGTCCTTGAATTTCTCTTAATTCTAGTTGGACATCTTTCATTTCTAAGGGACTAACAGAAATATCACCATGCCTCACACTGCTCTTGATCGGAGCCACCACTTTACAACTCTGCCATCACTTCAGACCTCAACTTCTCCCACTGTATGTTCTTCCCTCACTATCACACCCCATTCCCAGCCCCTCTCCTTGTCTAGTGGACATCCAGTGACTCCCAGACTCCCAGACTCCATGAACTTTTATTTTTTTTATTTTTTATTTTTTAATATTTATTTTTTAGTTATTGGCGGGCACAACATCTTTGTTGGTATGTGGTGCTGAGGATCGAACCCCGGGCTGCACGCATGCCAGGCGAGCGCGCTACCGCTTGAGCCACATCCCCAGCCCCTCCATGAACTTTTAATCTGAAGACAACTTCAACTCTTTGCCTTAATTGAAAATTGGTTATTTTCCTTAAGAATACCACTTTCTCTTTGTCCCACTGAAGCATGGCCTCAGGGTCACAGGGACATGAAAGGTGAACACCTTTCAGTAGTATTTATTCACAATTTATCTACCTCACTCCTGTACAATCTGTAGCTACTCTAAACTTCAAGTCCTAATATATCACATTCCCACCATCTCCTCTCACAAATCCACCAACTTTCTTGCTATTTTCTCTTGTTTCCTGGATATTAATGTCAGACTCCAACATTTAACCCCATTGCCGGGCTATTTAAACACTCATGGGGTGGCCACGATGACTTCTTTTCACAGCTATTCCTTTCTTAGGGCTCCTTGGTAAAAGGAAGGCCACTTTCTGAGCTCATAGTTTCTTGACAGTCTCATTTCTGATGTTTTCTCCTTGGTTATTTGCTCCCGATGGCATCATGGACTTCATCATCAAATGTGCAGCATCTCCTAGTTATTCATTTTAATCATTTTACTCTGATATCAACTCATCTCCTCCTCCCTTGCAGTTACTCAATTCTAATTTCCTAAAGACTTCCAGTGCATTATCCACATCATTTTACCTTTGTTTATTAAACCTATTTTCATAGGACAACATAATGATCTCTGACATTCTCAACTCTTTGAACATCTCTTTTGCCAGTAAACTTAGCTGGAAAATCTCCAGTCATATAAAACCCCACTCATTTGATTGCTCTGTGCCTGAATAATGATGGGAAAAAAATTCACACAACTGGGATGCCTAGGTTTACTCTAAATTCATGATCACAATTAACATTTTTTCTTTCTCTAAATTTCCATTCCCCTACCAACAGACACTGAGATGTTTACATAGCCTTATTCCTATTAATGAAAAAAAAAGTAAGCCATGTTTCTCTTAACAGTAAATTTACAAATTTTACATCTGATCTATTTTCTATTTTCCTCTATTAAAATGAAAGGAGTATCCCTGTACCTATCACAGATAAATTGTTCCTCTTGTCCTATTGGGCATACCCCTTCTCAACTTGCCAAATATTTTTCTACTTCAGTTATCCCATCTTGCTGTTATAGCAAATAGTTTCTTATATACAGTAAATAATTTCTACCAGTATTAAACATATTCTAGAGTTTCTCTTCCTGATAACACCTACCGCCTATTTCATGAAAACCAAATAAATCTATATTTTTGGTCTTCAAAGTCTATATAGCTACTAACTTACCTCTGAACATAGATGAACACCTCAGAGTTTCTATACTAGCTATCTGCCTCATTGTTGCTCTCTTCCCTTTTTAATTCAAAAAGGCTTTTGACTTCACCAATCAATTGAAAATTGATCTTATAAGGTCACTATAACTTTCGTTTTGTCAAATCTATCAAAACCTGTAATTTTTATATTCATCTTAACCTTTTAGCAGCATTCAACAGAGTTGACTGATCTCCCCCTATTGAAACACTCACCTTTTCTGGTTTCACTGACCCTGCAATCTATGGGTCTTTCTCTCGTTTCTCTGGCTTTTTCTCGTTTCTCTTTTCTTTTTCAGTTTCCTCTACTGGTTCCTCCTCCAACTGACTAGTAAATTTCAGAGCTCACTTGGGTTTGCTGTCTCTTCTCTTTATATCCTCTTGGGAAGCTTGTCCCTTTCATGATTTTAAATACCACCCATATGCCAACGCCTCCTAAGTTTCTATCTCCGGCCTAGCTTCTCCTTAACTCCAGACTCATGTATTTTCCCCATGTCTACTTGTATACCTTACAGACATCTTCAACAAAATATACTTCAAACTGAAGTCTTGATCTTCTTAACCCAATTGCTTCTCTAACATGTCCATCCTCCACTTTTCCTCTTATGAAATAAGAGAATCATGTTTGACTTTTTTGTTTCTCCTCATTTCTACCATCAAGTCCTATTGATTTTATTTTCAAATGGTATCCTTGAATTTCTCTGTTTCTTTCTATATCTCTGCTACTATACTGCTAATTCAAACACTGGTCACCTCTCACCTGACCACTTGGACCACAGAACAGTCACCTTTACCTTTTGATTTATTTTCATATATTAGTGAGTCATCTTTTAAAAATGCCAATCAAATTATGGGCCTTTTGTTGTTTAAAATCTGTTAATATTGTCCTACTTCTCTGAAATGAAACCCAGACTTTTTTTTTTAAATTAGAGCATGTTTCAGTTATATATAATAATTAGATTCATTCCAACAAAATCATACATACATGGAATTTGATTTTAATTTATATGCTCCCCTTTACCCCCATCCCTTCCCTTCCCCCATTCTCCTTCCTCTATTCTACTGATCTCCCATTCACTAATCTATTTATTTATTTTTTATTGAAACTCAGAATTCATATAGTCAATAAGACCCTACATGACCTGATTTCTTCCTACTTTCAGCATTTTATCTTTGTCTTCTGCTCTTCAGCTTGGTCCTTACTCATTTTGACTTTCAGTTTTAAACACTGAGCACTCTGAGATCTTTTCATCTTAGGGTCTGTGTCTGTGCTTTGTTCTTATACCTAGACTGCCTAATATTTTCCTGATCTTTCACCCTCATTCTCCAGGTCTGTTTAAATGTCAACCTCTTAGAGAAATCTTCCTTGACTCATGTAAAGTGAATGTAGCCTCATTCATCTTTACCATATCACCCTGGTGATTTGTTTCCTTGATGGGAACATTATAGTTTATAAAGTATGATCTTTACTTTTATTTTTTATTTATGTATTTAATTTGCCAAATCCCCCACTATATTTTAAGTCCCATGAGGTCACAGAACCCTATCTTTCACTCATTGCTGAGACTTGAATGCTTTGCACAGTTCTGGCATATAGTAATTACTAAATGAAGTCAGTACTAAATTCATCTTGAAACAAATGGGATCTTTTTTCTTACATTTCCTCTTTCATATTTTTTTTACATTTCCTCTTTCATATTATACCATATTCAGTAAAAAAAAAAAATCCCTTTTAAAAAACATATATGCCCAGAAGAGATTCCATGCATTTTTCTTTGGATAATGGTAATCCCTAATTATGCGTGCTCACATAATAATACTCTACAATTATGCAGTATCTTTTATTTTAGGGTCTCAAAACTTGTTCTAAATCATAATCAATGACCAAGTAGTTGTGGTGACTTTGGGTCATTAAAATAACTTTACATATAGACCCAAGCAAGCTTTATTTCTTAAGATCCTTGCTCAAACACACATCAGGTTTCTGATTCAAGACAGCTTGACTGCTTTGTTGAAAATAATTTAAATGAATACAGTAAAGCTCCATAATTAAAGATTCATGAGATAACTTTTATTGGTAGCCACTAAATGAAAGAATATGTCATTGTTTGGGGGAAAAGTTTATAAGAATAATCAAATAATTATAATCCTTTTATATGACGCTTCCTGTAGCATAGTAGGTACTCAGTAAATTTTCAGGACTTGGGAAATATAAAGCTCAATGTGACATGGTCTCTATTTCATTGCAGTGGACAGACGTGTGTATCAGCATGTATATCAGCATAATATAATAAAATGAGGCAAACGCCATGGAATCAAGATGCATAAAATGCTTTAATACATGAAAAAAGGAAGCCACTAGTTTGCTTGAAGAGGCCTCACAGATGAGACTCTTGGACTGCCATTTAAGGCTGGGCAGGAATTAGCCAGGTAGAGAAGGTAAAGATAGGAGGGGGGCATTCTGAGAAGAAAAAAGGAGAGAAGGATGTAGATGAGAGAGTGTTGAGAATTTTATAAGAATGATTACTAGGGCTGGAATAAAGTATGTCAGGAGGAACATAGCAAGGATGATATCCATGTTCTAGATGTAATGATATTTCTATAAAAAAGATGGTGTCTTGATAGGCTCAATTGAGAGCTGACAAGGGTGTAAAATATGAAAACTTCATTCTATGCAGGTAACCTTCTTTATCTTTTAGCTTAATATCATGAGTGAAGAGTTTATAATCTCAATAATGATATTATAAAAATGTTTAGATAACCAGACTCAATGTCTCCTGCTAGTTTTCTTTAAGAACAGAGGTCCTTAAGTCCATTCACATAGTAGTCTTTAAGCTGCATATTTCTGCATCTTTAGATGATTTGGGGTCTAAATTTTACGCTGTCAATTCTAGGATTGTTTAAAGCTTAAATCTGAAAAAATTGACTCATTAGTGTTCCTGCTCATACTTGTTTTTCACATATGTAGAGTGGGTGGTCATCTGTGTTCCATGATGGGAGGGTTCCAGGAATGCCTTTGTGCTCAACATTTTTTTTGCAACTCATGAGTCATGGTGATAGACAAGCCATATTAGAAATTCCTAAATATTCCTAAACATTAAAATATTGTTCACAAGACTTCACTTTTTTATGTTTCTTTTCTTTTTATTTCTATGGTACAAATGGCTTTTTGTCACATTCCAAAGACATTCTTAAATTGTCATCTTACTTGACTTCTGCCAAATTTGAGACTTGAAGTAAGTGCATTTTTTTCTCTTGAGTTTTTCTGCTCTCTAAATAGTCTTGGATTCTCTAACCCTTCAAACTCATGCTTAGTAGATATAAGCTAGGGATTAGAAAATAGCGTTTATTTAATCCCACTTTTTTTTTTTTTTTTTTTTTTAGTAAAGTTGCCTCACGGCAGCCTTCTGCTTCCTTGGTGTTTCCGAGAGAGGAGTTGATCTAGTTCCTTTTTTCCAAGGAATCAAAAAAATATGGGTGCAAGAGGGCTTTTATTGTTGTTGTTTTTTCTTGGTGAATCTCTCTCCCATTTCTATTGGCAACCCCCCCTTCCTATCTCTAGAGGAACTCAGTTGCTCTCCTTCAAGGCCTCTCCATACAGTGCTGCAGGTCTATCTTCCCCTTCTTGTCCTACAGAACTTAAATCCCTTTCAGTTTTGTTAAGTCAACAATCACTAGATGAACTCCTTTCCCTATTTCATAGTATAACTGATGTTGTCTTCTGTCATTGCCATACCCATTCTTTTGGTCTTCTGGGGTTATGTCAGTTTTATTCCTTTCAGTAGGATTTTGGGAGGAAACTACCAAATGTCTGGTTTTGGACGGTTGGGTTTAATTGGAAATCTTGAGAACTATTTTTCTAAAACATGAAAATGATTCTGTAGATCCACTGTTTCATTATTTCAAGGGCCTTGTCTGCCTACAGAGTAAAATTTGAATTCCTACTGGTTGTTTTCCAAAGTGCTTCATGATCTGGCCCTTATCTACCTATCTATTAGGACTATCCTTTGCTTTCTTCAATTCTGATGCTTCAGTTCTCAAGCTCTGAGATGAGTCAGTTCAGGTATAACTACCTCCTCATCATCATCCCTGGTTGAATAGTACAGAGAAATAGAACACCAATAGTGAATAATAAGCTTTCACCACATGCTATAGAATATGGGAAGACTCCCAAGATAGCATACAATGTGAGCAAGAAGCAAGGCAGAACACATAGAAGGTTTTTCAACAGGGAAAAGAGGCCTGGGTTTCACCAGAACTTCAAAGGGGCTCCAGTCCAGGTTCAGGGGTAGCAGGTACAATGAGGACAGTAGAAAGAACTGATGTGAAACAGAGCCTGCTTTGAAAGCCTGTTCACCCACTGTTACCAAAGTTGATGGTGTATACCTACTACCTTCTCCTTTTCCTCTCCTCCTTTTTTCTTTATTTTCTTCTAATTAACTTCTTTCTACTTCTTTTTCTTATACGCCCCTTGTCCCAATTTCTTTGCAACTGCTGGAATTGTTGGCCTGAGGTACTCACTCCATTGTAATAACATATACCACTTTGGTTTAGGCCTCATGGTTGGTATGATGCTGGACACACTTCCAATGATGATGGAAACAAAACTGAATCAGGCAACTGAACATGCAGGCAAGGCTTTTATTGGAGCTTCCATTTAAGGAGGGAAACACAGCTCCAATAAGACAATGTCATGCTGGATCTCTAGACAAAAGGAGGGAGCTTGTTTAGCTGGCTACTTGCAGGGGAGGGGATATTAATTGGCTTTATGTGTATTCTACTCAAGAAGTTTGCCCTGTGGTAAAGAAATGTATAGTACTGTTTAAAACAACACATATAGGGCACCCTGACCTCAACTATGCAAAGCTACCCTGGTTGAGGGGTGTCACATTTTAAGCCTCTTGGAGTCTTATGTCAGGCCCTCAGTCAAGACCAAAGAAGTGCATTTGCCCTTTCTTTTTCTTTTTTCTTTTCTTTTCTTTTAATTTTTCTTTTCTTTTTTTTTTTTTTTTGTAGCTGTAGATGGAGAACATGTCTTTATTTTATTTATTTGTACGCCGTGCTAAGGATTGAACCCAGTGCCTCACACATGCCAGGCAAGTGCTCTGCCACTGGGCCACAGCCCTAGCCCTGGCCTTTGTTTTTATGGTGGCACTGTCTCAGGTGTGCCCTTTGAATCTGCATTTTATCATGTGGACTTGCTTTGGCCACTAGGATGCTAAGGGTAATAACATGATGAAAGGCTTCAACTGTACTAAAGCTGTTGGGCTTGCTCCTTTGGGCTTTTGATACAGTTCTGATAAGAACATTCTCCAGATACCCATTGCCTTTCT